ATGTCTTCAGCTAATGGTACACTGCTGATGGACACATTCCATCCAGTTCTAAAATATAACGGTCTTCCTTTATTATACAGTTAAAATATTTCTGTTATAGTTAAATTACAATAATTTTAATAGTTTTTGATGAGAATAGTCCTTCTGCAATCCAACTTCATATGTCTTCCAGCTAATGGTACACTGCTGATGGACACATTCCATCCAGTTCTAAATATATAACGGTCTTCCGCTTATTATACAGTTAAAATATTTCTGTTAAATTACAATAATTTTAATAGTTTTTGATGAGAATAGTCCTCTGCAATCCAACACCATATGTCTTCAGCTAATGGTACACTCTGATGGACACATGCCATCCAGTTCTAAGTATAACGGTCTTCCGCTTATTATACAGTTAAAATATTTCTGTTATAGTTAAATTACAATAATTTTAATAGTTTTTGATGAGAATAGTCCCTCTGCAATCCAACACCATATGTCTTCAGCTAATGGTACACTCCTGATGGACACATGCCATCCAGTTCTAAGTATAACGGTCTTCCGCTTATTATACAGTTAAAACATTTCTGTTATAGTTAAATTACAATAGTTTTAATAGTTTTGATGAGAATAGTCCTTCTGCAATCCCAACACCATATGTCTTCAGCTAATACACTGCTGATGGACACATTCAGTTCTAAGTATAACAGTCTTCGCTTATTATACAGTTAAAATATTTCTGTTATAGTTAAGTACAATAATTTTAATAGTTTTTTGATGAGAATGATCCTTCTGCAATCCAACACCATATGTCTTCAGCTAATGGTACCTCTGATGGACACATACCATCCAGTTCTAAGTATAACGGTCTTCCATATTATACAGTTAAAACATTTCATTATAGTTAAATTACAATAGTTTTAATGGTTTTTGATGAGAATAGTCCATCACTGCAATCCAACACCATATGTCTTCAGCTAATGGTACACTGCTGATGGACACATTCCATCAGTTCAAAGTATAACGGTCTTCGGCTTATTATACAGTTAAAATATTTCTGTTATAGTTAAATTACAATAATTTTAATAGTTTTTGATGAGGAATAGTCCTTCTGCAATCAACACCATATGTCTTCTAAGCTAGTACCTCCTGATAGTTACATGTGCCATCCAGTTCTAAGTATAACGGTCTTCCGCTTATTATACAGTTAAACATTTCTGTTATAGTTAAATTACAATAATTTTAATAGTTTTTTGATGAGAATAGTCCTTCTGCAATCCAACACCATATGTCTTCGGCTAATGGTACACTGCTGATGGACACATTCCATCCAGTTCTAAAAGTATAACGGTCTTCCGCTTATTATACAAATATTTCTGTTATAGTTAAATTACAATAATTTTAATAGTTTTTGATGAGAATAGTCCTTCTGCAATCCAACACCATATGTCTTCAGCTAATGGTACACTCCTGATGAACACATGCCATCCACTTCTAAAAGTATAACGGTCTTCGCTTATTATACAGTTAAAATATTTCTGTTATAGTTAACTTACAATAATTTTAATAGTTTTTTGATGAGAATAGTCCTTCTGCAATCAACTTCATATGTCTTCAGCTAATGGTACACTGCTGATGGACACATTCCATCAGTTCTAAGTAACGGTCTTCCGCTTATTATACAGTTAAAATATTTCTGTTATAGTTAAATTACAATAATTTTAATGGTTTTGATGAGAATAGTCCTTCTGCAATCCAACACCATATGTCTTCAGCTAATGGTACTGCTCTGATGGACACATGCCATCCAGTTCTAAGTATAACGATGCTTCTAAAACATTATACAGTTAAAACATTTCTGTTATAGTTAAATTACAATAGTTTTAATAGTTTTTGATGAGAATAATCCATCTGCAATCCAACACCATATGTCTTCAGCTAATGGTACACTCTGATGGACACATGCCATGTTCTAAGTATAACGGTCTTCCGCTTATTATAGAGTTAAAATATTTCTGTTATAGTTAAATTACAATTTTAATAGTTTTTGATGAGAATAGTCCTTCTGCAATCCAACACCATGTCTTCAGCTAATGGTACACTCTGATGGACACATGCCATCCAGTCCTAAGTATAACGGTCTTCCGCTTATTATACAGTTAAAATATTTCTGTTATAGTTAAATTACAATAATTTTAATAGTTTTTGATGAGAATAGTCCTTCTGCAATCCAACACCATATGTCTTCAGCTAATGGTACACTCCTGATGGACACATGCCATCCAGTTCTAAAGTATAACGGTCTTCCGCTTATTATACAGTTAAAATATTTCTGTTATAGTTAAATTACAATTTTAATAGTTTTTGATGAGAATAGTCCTTCTGCAATCCAACACCATATGTCTTCAGCTAATAATTACACTCCCTGATGGACACATGCCATCCAGTTCTAAGTATAACAGTCTTCCACTTATTATACAGTTAAAAACATTTCTGTTATAGTTAAATTACAATAGTTTTAATAGTTTTGATGAGAATAGTCCATCTGCAATCAACACCATATGTCTTCAGCTAATGGTACACTCTGATGGACACATGCCATCAGTTCTAAGTATAACGGTCTTCCTTATTATAGAGTTAAAATATTTCTGTTATAGTTAAGAATTACAATAATTTTAATAGTTTTTTGATGAGAATAGTCCTTCTGCAATCCAACACCATATGTCTTCAGCTAATGTTACACACTCCTGATGGACACATGCCATCCAGTTCTAAAGATATAACGGTCTTCCGCTTATTATACAGTTAAAAATATTTCTGTTATAGTTAATAATTTTAATAGTTTTTGATGAGAATAGTCCTTCTGCAATCCAACACCATATGTCTTCAGCTAATGGTACCTCCCTGATGGACACATACCATCCAGTTCTAAGTATAACGGTCTTCCGCTTATTATACAGTTAAAATATTTCTGTTATAGTTAAATTACAATAATTTTAATAGTTTTTTGATGAGAATAGTCCTTCACAATCCAACACCATATGTCTTCAGCTAATCGTACACTCCTGATGGACACATGCCATCCAGTTCTAAGTATAACGGTCTTCCGCTTATTATACAGTTAAAATATTTCTGTTATAGTTAAATTACAATAATTTTAATAGTTTTTGATGAGAATAGTCCTTCTGCAATCCAACACCGTATGTCTTCAGCTAATGGTACACTGCTGATGGATACATGCCATCCAGTTCTAAGTGTGCGGTATTCCGCTTATTATACAATTAAAATATATCAATTATAGTTAAATTAAAAGTATTAATAAATTATTTAATTTAATTTATTAAATCCTAAGCATTTTAACCATTCCTGTTGAAATTAGTTGAGGTCAACATATGGTAGTTTACTAAAAGACTATTATTTAAATATTTTTTTTTAATAAATAATTTGCTATTATAATTTGATATACTGTAATATTAATCTGTTTTATTCCAGAGCATATGTAGAGAAAGATTATAGATCGATAATTAAGCATTTTAAATTTATTAATAACACCGAAATTTCTACTTCTTAAAGTCTATACCTTTTAAGATTCAACAAATTAGGCTTAATTAGTTCTATATCGATTAATTAGGAAAAAATTATGAAACGTATACAATATTCAGGCGATATTTGTATGTCGCTAAAGTATGTTAAACGTAGAAGAGTTAATTTTAGTGAAAGTTTTCTCGGCACCGTGCGCGCAGTTTACTTTCTTTCGGTTGAAAATTTTTGTTTGTTTGGTCCATATTGACCAATTCTGCATCTGTTAATAAGCAATATTTATGTCTTTTGAAAGCTATTTTAGCGCTACAAGATATCACCTAAAATTATTCCATAGAAAAATGAAAATTTGTCTTATACTTCGTAAAGTAACTGTATTAGTTCCTTTCATACCATTTTTTTCAATTATATTAAAGATCCATAAATAAAACTCAGAAAGTAATTGAAGCAAAAACAATATCGTATGAATTTAAAGCAATGGCTTGAGGAGAGACAGAAAACGTTTTAACTCCAGCTTTAAACTCACTTGACTGTTTAATTAAATTTAACTTACACTGTTAATCTCTTGAAATTCCCTTGGCACTTGATTTGACATAATTACATATGTTCGCTTTTTAATTTCGTAAAATCTTACGAAAGTGTTCATGAGTTCCGATTTTTTTTATATGAACATATTCATTTCGAAAAAAAACTTTTAATATGCATCACTTTTATACCTCAAGATATTTATGTCTACTACATGATTTTACAAATTTTAATTTTAACGTTGCAATGCTTTGAGAAGCGTAAATAATAGGACAGCTCCCGATTTCTAAGAATTCCAGAAGGATTAGTTCTGTGTTTTATTGAAAAAGTCCTGGAAATGTAAACAAAGCAAAATATTTTCATTTTTTTATGAAATATATTATCAAAAAATTCGAATCTATTCCAATTCAAGACCATCTATTTTATTTGATAAAAAGCCTCTAGCTTTTTTAAATATAAATTTTCTTTAAATAATAACAAAAGACTTTAGCATCTCTAAATTGAACTCCCGTTAGATTACCAGCTACATAATTTAATTTACATTTATTAAAAGATTTTGCAAAATCCAATTTTTCATGGCGATGCTTTAATATAGCGTAGATTATCTTTTAACAGTACACCACTTTTTTTTCGGCGATTTAAATAGGAGTATAATGGCCTACGTTCTGAAATACCTATTTCAAAATTAATATAGACTTTTTTTGGACCTGATTTGTTAACACACTTAACAAGAAATTCCGAGAACAGAGTTGATTTGACATTAACATTTTTTATGTACTGAAATAGTTCATTTATTATTGAATATCTTATGTGTATCATGAATTATAATTCAATACAGTTTACTTTACTGCTTGTTTTAGAATAAAACTGTGTCACCCGTTAGTTTTATGAAGAATTTTATTAGATTTTTGTCACTGTTTTTACTGAGTTTAATAGAACCGTTATATAGTTACCTTGTATAATTTTTCTTTTTGGTACCATACATCTTCTTCTTCTTCAGGTGCTTGAAAGGTGGAGTCCATGTGGAGATCATCGCGCGACCTAGACAGGATTCTACGTCTGGATACCATTTCTGACGGGGTTTCAGGTAAGGGTAGTTCTAAGGCAGGTATCCTGTAAAAAAAAATTCTATTTTATTGGTCCATCTTATACAAAATAGTATTTTTCTAAGTTTTAAACATTAGCGCAGACGTTCCAAACCCATTTTTAAGCATCTGAATCCTGTTCTTTCAGTTCTTTTAACCAAAGTATTTATATATGTCATTGGAAACATACATATCCAGTAATAGTAACTACTAATTACCGTGCAAATATACTTAATTATAAAATGCTTTTCTTGAACTTGGCGGGATCTCGCTTATAGATACATTCTCCTTGTGTTTTTCATCGAAAAAAAACCGCTAAGAATTACATAAATTGTAAATTAATCGGTTATTGCGTAACGTTCATTATTTATTGTTGATTATTTTACTTATTCAGTTGTTGTTTCGTTACTATTGTTTTTCTTTTTAATGTTTTACGCGTGGGTGCAATTGGTCTTTTTATATACAGGGTGTTTCAAAACAAATGCGAAAAACTTTAGGGGGTGATTCCTTGTTCAAAATAAAGGGTAGTTTGCTTTATAAACGTTGGGTCAAAAGTCAACCATTAGGGAGATATCGCGGTACAAAGATGGCGGAAAAATAATGTTTTTATTTTATATCTTGAAAACGAAAAGAGATAGACTAATGAAATTTTATGGAAGCATTACTGTTATGAAAACACACTTTCTGGTAATTTTTTTACTTTTTTAAAATAAGTGGAAGGGGTTGAAATAAACTACCCCTATCATTCTTGTTAAAGAAAAATCTTATAAAACACATGCAAATGCTTTAATTTGGATAGTTTAGTTTGTTTAGAAACTTTTTTATCTCTTGTGTTCTTTTGATAAAACTCACCGATTTGAAATTAAAAAATAAAATGTAAAGCATTACATGTCAGGACAAAGAACATTTTTAGATTAAAAATCTAGTGATAATAACGATAATAATAATCATCTTGATAATATCGTATTGCAGTAGAGTAATGTCAAATAAAATAATATTAGGAACATCCTAAAAAGTAACAGCGGCCTACTATAGATTTTTTCCTAAAAAATTACAGCAGCCCGCTAGATTCTTTATCAGAAAATGTTTTTTGTCCTGACATGTAATGCTTTACATTTTATTTTTTAATTTCAAATCGGTGAGTTTTATCAAAAAAATACAAGAAATAAAAAAGTTTCTAAACAAACTAAACTATCCAAATTAATTTTTTTGCATGTGTTTGATAAGATTTTTCTTTAAATTTCGTTAACAAGAATGATAGGGGTAGTTTATTTCAACCCCTTCCACTCATTTTAAAAAGTGAAAAAAGTTACCAGAAAATGACTGCGAACAGTAATGCTTCCATAAAATTATTATTAGTCTATCTCTTTCGTTTTCAGATGAAAAAATAAAAACATTATTTTTCCGCATATAATTCCAATAGTGAGACATCTCCCTAATGGCAAACTTTAAACCCAACGTTAACATGAATGAAAGGGTAGTTTATTTACCCTGTATATTCATTTTAATTTTTTTCTTTTACTTTAGCTATGTTTTGTAACATTTAGACACATTGTTTTGTGTTTTCAATAATTTTCGAATATACTGTAGATTATCTGATGGTATCTGTACCCATAAATAACATCCACATTGAGATTCGGACAAGTTTAGAATTCTGTATGGCTTAGTACCGTTGGAAACCAATTTTCTCATCATAATTCTTTATAGAACATTTTTAGAATATGTAATAATGTAGGTCACGTTGAGACACCTACCGATATATGAACAGTTATGCAAGAGAATGACCGTACAAGTGGTGAGGGGGACGCCAATGTCAGAGGTTATGACTAAGGTTCTTCTTTGCTAAATTATGCGCTATTATTTAAATGTAATTGCTCCCGAGATACAGATAGATACAACAAAGGCGGTTACACTGCTTGCCGTACAAAACATGTAGATTTTTTAAATATAAAACTTAAGAAGGTAATTTTATTTATTCAGAATTAGGTTTTTATAAAAAGTATGATGACATAATCTTAATTGCAAATTGTCCTCAAGAACTACAAGCACAAATTAACGAACTAAATACAGTCAGCCAATAAAGGTCTCAAAATGAATTTAGCAAAAACTAACTAAAACAACTAATAGACAGAAAAGACATCCTGATAAAAAATTGGCGCTGGGAGGCACGTATAGCCGCCCATACTAAAATATGTTAGTCAAAAAGTTGGTAGGCAGTTCTTTTAGTTTCAAAGTAAAGGAATTTTTCCAAGTGTTTTCCAAGTTTTCAAAGTTTGTTGCAAATATTATTCCTAATCTTAACCTTTCCGGGACCGTGCTACAAAAGTTACGTTTCAGGCCGTGTGGGGTAACTAAGATACCCCACTGAAATATTTCAAAAACTGTTAATATTTTGACAATCAGGTAAATTATTAATAATTATTTGTAAAGTTTTATAATCAAACATCAATAATTTAAATAGTTTGTATTTGTTTAATATAAAAACATTTAATTTTAAAATTAAAATCTTATTCATTTTCTACTCATTATTTTGGCAGTCAGGATATAAAAACGTTTTACATTATTTGCGGTGAATATTAAAAATGTTTTTTTTTTGCAGGTACTACATAATATTTTTGTTTTTCTAATACGTGATCTGGCGCAAAAGCCGCATCTTCGGTGCGAATTTGGTTGTGAATCTCTTTAGCAGGATTTATGGAAACTGTGCTTTCGGCAAGAAATAAATATATTGCTGTTTTTACAGTTTCGGGAAAATTGTTGTTATTTTATTTCTTTCTTAGAACGTTTAGAAGTACAAGTCTTTGTGCTGGAGTGCTTTGCGTGCAGAATTCGAAGCGAATTCGGCAGGAATCTATTTTTGTTAGCCCATCATCAGTATATTCCTTTTGCCGCCATTTTCCAATAAATACACACACTAACTTACTACAGCACAGTAAATACCAACACTAAACTAAATATAAAACTTGTTTACGTCTTCATACAAGTCACCAACACGAAAAAAACATGAATAGTGCGTGTAGAATTTCGAATCACTGCAGGCCGTGCAGGATAACGGAGGTACTCCAGGCAGTAAATTTCAGTTTTTCGCCAAAAATAAAAAAAAAATATTTGGATATTTTTTTGTTAAAAAGGGTTTTGTATTATATTTTCTAGGATTACCTGAAAGGAAAAAAGTGAGAAATAAAAATTGTAAAAGTTATTAAAGAAAAAACGCATCTGGGGTACCTGAAATACCCCGCACGGTCCCGGAAAGGTTAAATTGAAAACCGCGTTTCGCTAGCTACTGTAATTTTGGAGTTACGATTTTTTAAAATTTTTAACCCCCTCCCATACCCCCTTACCAACCCCCCACCCCCACCAAAAACTAATGGCCAGATTCTCGGGTGCCACAGTATTTTTGTGCCAAATTTGGTTAAAATCGGTTTAGCGGTTTTTGAGTTATCGTGTTACAGACGGACAGACAGACAGACAGACACCATGAAAATATTTATGGCCCAAATAACTCATTTTGAGTGAAATTAAAAAAACTGTTTTTTGCCGATCTTAGTAGCCTACCATACCTATTGGTATGGTCGGCTAAAAAACAACACTTGAATTAGTAGAAGAATAAATATATATTTGGGACAACTAAAACACAGCTCGGGATCTCTACTCCCAGAAATCAGCCGAAGAATTAAGTTAACATGGAGTACTCAGCAGAAACTAAATATTACTCAACTTTCAGGAAATCACAAAAATATCAATAATTCGGGAGATACCAACAGGCGATTGAGTCAAGAATTTTCATAAAAAAAGTAAAGGTTGAATTTCAAAATATCTATTTTTTATGATCGAAAGGGTCTGCAATTATTAATTTAACGTTGCATGTGAATTATTGCAGCCGTTTTAAGATGTATACACAATAAAATTAAAATTCACATAATTTAAAATAAGCTTTATGTCAGCTGTTAAATCGGACAATAGCAGAAAGAGAAATTGCTAAATATTTTCAAATATTTCAAAACGTAATTAGTACAGTGGTACAAGGTAAACAGACGGTGTAATTCTTATTTTCACACCGAGAAATGTCACAGCCGTAAATTTTGTGAAGAATTCTATTAAATAGACTCCTTTGTGCTCTCTATCTATTTCGCAATGGCGGGCATTATACTGTTCAGTACCGGTTGAACTTTAATTTGACCATTTTGAACAAAATGTCCTTGAATTTTCCAAATCCTGTTCTAAGAAAGGCAATTTAAATGAAAATTTCGTATTTTGTCGCTGTTTTTTTTTCCGCCCTCATATTTCATAAGGATTTTGAGCAAATACAGACACATAGCATAATAAATTTATCTAATAATCGTATTATTAACAATTAAGTCCAAAATGAGGATAAGAGATCTTGATTAACGACATAAAATTACGAAAGCTACTCGAATGACACAACAATTTAGCGCAAATGAGATGTGATCTAAAAGAACCGACAATGTTACAGTTTTTTACGGGGCCGATTCTTGCTCTAGCTCACTGATTAGTTTTTTTGTGACACTCTGTACAGCATTACTAATGAGAATAGTCGAAGAATGTCTCCCATTCATTTCTAAAAATCATTGTTCTTTTTTTTTAATGGCGTGTATCAGTATCTTATTGTTTTTCTATTGGTTTGGATGAAAAATCAATGCCAAAAAAGCTGAATAGTAGTCGTCAGACGTTATTACGCCTCAAGCTGTACTTTCACTTTAATTCTTAGCCAGTGAGATGTCTTCTTCGATGGAGGATGAACACTTTTTACGTATCTGTTATGAAACATGTTTTTATCTGTTTCATTTATTTTGTCTATCCGAGTAACTTAGCCTAAAAAGATCAAATATTCCATAGACCTTTTTGTGTTCTATTTATTTTAAATCAATCTTCATAGGCTCTAAGAATATTAGATTTTTTACTTAAGATATTCTGATAAGATTAAGATCAAGTTAAGAGTTCGTATAGCATACAATATAATTCTCATATGAAATAAATCAGAACTTTAGCACAGAATATTACAACAGA